TGGATTTGGGAAACTAGGCTGTGATAATGGGTTATAATTTTGGTTTCTCTTGGGTTTCAAATTTTTCATTTTGGGTAGACAAATTAGCATATGGGCTGGCCTGTAAACAAATGAAAAACCCAATACTACAAAAAAATAAAAAAAAAAAGGACTGAGTCTGGGGCCAAGGCCCAACGTTCATGCCTGCACTGGACTGTGAGTGGCTCCGCCCCTATGTGTAAGTATAGACCGTGAATTCACCAACTCATATTGAGACTACCTTTACGAAATCGTTACTTTGGATTCATAAGGACCCATAAACGTTTCGATTTTGACCCGAACTAAATCATTCTAAAGGTTTGATTTTGGTTTGAGTCATTTAAATCCAACCGAACCGTTGTAGTATAAAAATTAAAAGAAGATCCTATTAGTAAATTTTTTGTTTTTCTAAGGTTCATGTTCGGGACTATACCCCTCCACCAATCAACAATAGTATTAAGGTACTGTGCTCTAAAAATGATTTCTCCATTTGATTGGTGCAATCTAATTGTTAATAATTGTGATTTAAATGTGTCAACAGGAAGACGTTTGAAACAGACGGAGGATTCTAATATCATCCAAATACTTGAGCACCATAATTCCCATGTAATTTTCAAGCATTGTGCAGCTGAGTAGAGCTTGCTTCATTAACATTTGATTATTTAACATGCAGATGGAAGTTGGAATTGAAGACTGTCTCCACATTGAGTATAACAAGGGCAAGTGACCTCTCTCTCTCTCTCTCTCTCTCTCTCTCTCTCTCTCTCACACACACACACACAATTATGTATGCTAGTTTGGGATTGGTGCACATTTGAAATTTGGAGTTGTAAGCTATAATTCAATGAATAAAGATAAATGTACAACATTTGTCGACAACAATGGTTGACAACCATGTGTTATCAAAATCCTAACATGTGATGTAGAAAACAGTTTTTTAAAATGGATGAATATGATGATGTCAGATAGGATGTCGTCAACCAATGCTGTCAACCAATGTTGTACATGTAGCATGATTCTAATTCAATTATACCACTCATTTTAAGTGTTTAGTTCTAAGCTACTTTGCTGGGATAGTTTAGACTAGCTTCCATGTTTAATCAACGAAAAGATCTAGGAGCTGTGTAGGTTGTAGTTAGTTTGATTTTCTTATTGTTACGAAAAATGAGAATTGACAATATGAAAAATAAAAACAAGAATACAATATTTACGTGGAAACTCAAGATGGAAAAAAAAAGTCACGGACAAAAAAGAAGAAAAGTCTATATATCAAAGGATGATTACAAAAGGTGAAGCTCTTATAAACCAACGGTTACTCCCAATATATGTAATACGATGAAATCCTAATATTTATTGAAATCCTAATATAATAGACCTAAGAAATGATAGAGTGTTCGAGGTTGTTTAAAAATGTTAAAACAATCAAATTGCAACTAGGGTTTTAGTCAGATAACACCATCACTCGAGCGCCCCTGGCGCAACCAGCTAGTGGCGATGCTAAAAAAGATGCTCAAGCGCCCATGGCATGGACAACAAGCGCTTTTGGGCCAATTTCTTCTCTTTGTTCGTCTTTGACTTCTTAAAAATACACTACCAACTCTCAACAGAATTCGAGTTACACTCGAATTCTAACATTTATTTTATCTAAATGACTGCTATTGTGTAACAGAAATCATTAAAGACAAATGGATATAACAAAGGAACCCCATCAAATTCTCGATTCAACTGAAAGTAGGGATTTTGTTTTTATTAATGGTCTTGCAAAAATATAATTAGGGTAAGAATTTTAGCAATTTTTTCCCCGGCAAAACTATAGCACATTATGTAAATATTATGCCCTAAGTCTAATTACTTTAGACATAAACACTTTAAATATATAATTAATGCATTTTATTTATGGCAGGTTTATTATTTAATTAAATTAATATTCTAATAAATCAAATAATAAAATCCGTAAATTCAAATCTTGGTAATTTATTAATTACAAAGAGTTGCGATTGTGAGATACAAATTACATACGACTAAATCCTAAATCATTCGTGATCGTAAATAATAATGAGGTATGTAAATAATTATTACGGATAGACTATCATGTGCGACATTTCTTACTTGTGAAGTAAGTAGCTAAAGTGTGGTGACATTTAAATGATCACGTGGATATTTTGTTATAGAAGAAAAATATTGGAGACCCCCTAGGTAGATTCCACATGGATAACTACATGAGTGTCAGCGATTAATCTCTAACGTTCAATAGTGGAATTGTTCATTCAACTTGATGTCATTACAATGTCTTATATGAGAACAATTATACTTTGGTGATATTGGATGTTGCTCTGCCAATGATTGCTAATATGACATCGTTCGAATATGTCAAGAATCATATGAAAGTTATGAATATCAATGGATGATTCGTCACTCTTAAATAGTAAGAGATTATGATCCACATTTCATTCAGTTAATCTAATAACGAAATCCTTGGCCAAGGTATACTCCTAAGTCGAAAAAGAATTTTTGACTTAAATTGACTTAATAGTGAGATGAAATATATGATCAATAATTAAGATTGACATTTATCCATATCTCGTATATGAACGGATCATATTGACGAAATGATTATAGTTTTACGATAAAAGAACATGTTTGATTTTGTCATACCATTGACATTTTTCGTCACATATATGACTCGACACATTGCTAGATGTTAATTTAGAATGATGATGTGAATTGATGATAAATTAAAAATGATATTTTAATTTATCGATTTTGATTAGATCAAAATAATAATTCACGTCATTAGATATCGTGATCAGGAACCTAGTGAGTCACACACAAGATGAGAACTAGAAGAATGAGATTCACCAATTAATTAATCAACAAGTGTTGAACAATTAGTTAATTGATTTAATTAATTCATGTACCAAATTTAATTAATTAGATTAATTAAATATTGGACCAAAATAATTTTAAAAGATGGATTAAATCCACTGGGACTTATATTAATAATATATTAGGATTTTTGAAAAATTGAACAAAACATAATTCATTATTTTGCTAGCACAAGAAAAGAGAAATCATAATTTTCTAATTTTTGTTCCCTATGTGGATTTCCAATGGAGGTTGGACAGTTGTGGATTGTAGATCATGTTTGTTTGTGTTACAAGATTTACAAAAGAATTTACAAAATTTACAAAAGATATAATTCATCACAAAGAAAATGTACATGATTAAATAAATTCTCAACACATTATATTTATAAGAATGTATACATAATAATTCCTACACTTACAATGTGCTGAAAATTAATATTTTAAGTTGAAAGAGTAAAGCCCTATTCTGTTTGTCGTTTTCAGGCCGTTTTCTGTTTTCGATTTTTCAAAATATTGAAAATACCTTCTCTTTTCCATTTTCGAAAATCCTTTTTTGAAAACAAAAAAAAAATTTGTACTAAAAACACAAAATGTCATTTTTGACGTTTTG